AAAACTTAGAAAGTATTCATCAGGGTCGCAAAGTGGTGCGCCGAAGGCCTATTCGCACACATCTACGATCACAGCTTCAAGGCAATCCTCCTGCAGCTACTGATGAGATAAACTTACAAATCCCTTCAATTTGCCTCTTCAAACAAAATGAAAGGTACTCCAACGAATTTATTAAGGGATTCTTCAAAAACCAGTTATGCTACATAACTTTCGATAAGTCCTTTTCCTCACTTATTTACTACTAACGAAATCTGTCAAAGCCCACTAAATATTAATAGTATATATAAGACTCAAACCTCAGATCGTCAAGTATTCTATTTTTGATGCCATAGTTTAAAAGTATGATGGGAAAACATGTTCCTTAAAATAATCAGTATTAGTTGACGCAGAATTAAGCTTGTAACTTAAAATTAAATTTGCTAGCTTAAAATTAACCAGTCATTAGATGATGTAGAAACGTTTTATTTCAAGTTCTCTAATAAATTTAATTTTCAGACAATAAGTAACATTAAAGATAGCAACCTCATGAAAAAATTATGCAGAAGTAGTTTATGTACTGGCAGTTCGTATTCACTTGTGCACTCAGTTACTTAGAATATAAAGTCTTCCGTTTTTACAAAACCTCTTATTGCATATATTACTTTTCCGTGGTTTCTAATACACATCGCGAAAAAAATTCCATCGAAAATCTCCCTATCACCTCTTATTACTTTGCCTTTTTGCAAGACAATGGATATTATGTGAGGGAAATTAAAACAAAAAAATAAAATGTAATCATATTCACCCCAAAAATTATATACTATAGTGATGAGCTTAAGGCATAAATGATAGTTGGGGAGAGCGAAAAATGACAGCACTTTAAAAAGTGTAATTGTCTAGCATACCCGGTTGGTCAGCTGCGACCAAAGCCGGGGTTGCTGCCGTTGAAGACGCTGTTATTGGCAGATGAAACAGGTTACACAAGCCTTGCAAAGTTCTTGAAGCAATACTTGTCTCATCACCGCTAACTCCAGCAACAGCAGCTGCTGCTACCGCTGCCATAGATACCGTTGGATGCCCACCTGATTCTATCCTTCGTGGACAGACGTGCTGCTGCTGCTCTGTAGAACCTTTGCGGACGAACAGCCTTGCTGATGGCCTAAAAGAATGACGTAAGGTTCCAGGCCTCATTTGTCCGCGCCAGCTCTTATCAATTGAACTCATCGCAAGCAAACTTGAATTACCATGACCGCTGGCATCAAAAAGAGACGGAGCCTCATCGGACTCTGGAGGAGGCAAGACCATAGAGGACCTGGTCGGTCCGATAGACTTCTCCAAGTTGATTAATTCGGGACCGGAGTCTATAGGAGGGACTGCTAAGGCGATGAGACTGCCTCTGGGTAAAAAGTTCTGTCCATCCA